AAGATATTGGCTACTTCCATCACTGAACTTCAGTATGCAGGCAAACTCACCCTCGCTGCTCACACTGAACACGACCTACAGGAGACCCTGAACACCAATGCAGATGCGTATGTTCACTTAGGCCTTGAGGTGAATGCACGTAAGACTCAGATTCTATTTCATCCTGCCCCTGGTTCAACCACACTTCCACTATCCATCCAGCTTAATGGTACTACCGTCTCTATTATTACTTACTTCCAGTACCTTGACTCCCACCTGTCCTCCACCACTGACATTGATGAAGAGATCCAACATCGGATCATATGTGCATCTCAAGCAGTGGTCCTCTAACAGCACCTTTGCTTTATATAAATATACCTAAATGAATAACACCAAGTTATTCGTCTAATTATTCACCAAGTGATTCACCATGTCGCTCATGACTGGATCACTGAGGTTGCATGTATCGCAGGGGTCGAGCCATGGTCAGCTGAGTCAGCAAACACTGCTTGCTCGTTACCACTCTCTCATATTCCAGAGAGGGGCACTTCACTCCATACCACTAGACAGGGAAATTCACACATAATAAAAGTGTTATCTCAAAGTGATATTGGCAACACTTCCCTGGAGAGAATTTACAATATATTCTCTCAGATTATATCTGTGTATATAGCTGCTTTCAGCAATATAACAGAAAACGCCAAGAAGTGTTTACGTCAAGCCCTGCCACTTAAGAGTTCCAGAACTTAATTAAAACAATTAGTGTGGTACACAAACAGCTATTACACTCCTCCCCACCCTGCTGTATACAGCGAAACGTGGGTCACATACAAGAGGCATCTCAAGGCACTTGAAAACTTTCACCAACATAGTCTACGTTCTACACTCGGAGTTAGCTGGGAAGACAAGAAAACAAATTCCAGTATTCTCACTGACACCAACTGTAGGAGCATCGAGGTTACCATTATCCATGAACAACTACATTGGAATGGCCATGTAACCCGCATGGACGACAGTAGTCTACAAAAGCAGCTTCTTTACACTCACCTAACGAATGGTAAACGTAACGCTGGCGGACAACGGAAAAGATATCAGGGTAGTCTTAAGACAAACCTGAAAAAGTGCCAAATCGACCCCCTCACCTGGGAGACGATCACTCCACACCGTAACGCTTGGAGGATCACCACACGAGAAGGTGTCAATACTTTCGAGTTAGCCTGGCTGCATGCCGAGGCAGACAATCGCCAGCGCCGAAAAGACGCTGCCACCACCCCTCCCACACTTGATGTAGCCTTCTACATATGCAACATCTATGGCCGGCTCTGTCGATACGGTATCGGCCTCTCGAGTCACCTCAGAGCTCACCAACGGTGACATCCTTAATAACTCATATCATTTTATCATAGCTGGATGATCGTCATACTCGATTCCGAGTGACAGCGAAGTTGTAGTAGTAGTTTTTATCACAATTTGAATTTTTCTTAATTTTTTTCAGAGTGTTTGCGCAATATCATTAAATAAAAACCTTATGTAATATATATCTAAAAATTTTCCATTAATTTTTAGAACAGTTGGTGTGTGGGTTAGTGGATCTCATGTTTTTTGACCTGACCTCATGTTTTGTAAGGTCACCCTGTGTACATAAGCTCTCTCTTAGTCTTTGTAATTCAGTTGCCTCTGAAGATGTCTTAAATAAAGACGAAAGCTAAGGTTCTCCATTGTTTCCCTTTTCCCTATGTGATTTTATCAAGATTTATCTTATCCACGTTTCCATTGTGGATCTACATGAAAAAAAATATATATATATATATATATATATATATATATATATATATATATATATATATATATATAAAAATATATATATATATATATATATATATATATATATATATATATATATATATATATATATATATATGTATTTATATATATATATATATATATATATATATATATATAGATATAGATATAAATAAATATATATATATATATATATATATATATATATATATATATATATATATATATATATATATATATATATATATATATATATATATATATATATATATATATATATATATATATATATATATATATATATATATATATATTTTTAAAGTGAAAGTCACGTGACAAGGGAAATAATTAAACCTGAAAATAATTACAGTCCTTTTCATGAACTATGCGATCCTTTGAAAGTCATATTTAGAAATTACAGTAATTAAACGAATGATAAGCAGGTAAGGTAATAGGGCAGAAACTGGTTTGTCTGAATTGCGGGTAATTGTTTTTTTTTTTCTTTTTTTTTTACGGGAATTAGTTCACTCGGGCACAGGTCAACCGACCCACAACGGGGCCTGGGGGGGGGGCGAAAAAAAAGAACAGAAAGAAATTAAAAATGGAGAAGAAAAAGGTTATACTGTGTTAATCTACACCACGAAGATGCCGGAAAACCAGCTTTTTAAAGTGAGACAGATTGTATAAGTATGGTAAACACAGAAGAAGGCAGAGCATTCCACAGTTTGGCTGTGCGAGGAAAGAAGGAGGTACTATAACGGGTTATTCTCGTGTGACCGACATCCACAGAGAAACGGTTGGCACCACGGGCAAGACGTGTGTTCCGAACACACGGCCTTGTCGGCGGTACACAGGATGCCAAATCCACCGAACATTACCCGTTAAAGTATCGGTAAAAGAGAAAGAGTGAAGCAACATTGCGGCGAAGAGAGATTGTCGACTAAAGGAGGAGAGTTAATAAGACGAAATGCCTTTGATTCCACCTTATCTAATAGTTGGACAGAAGAAGAGCCACCCCAAATATGAGAGCAGTACTCCAAGTTACGACGAATGAATCCCTTATATACTTGGAGCAACTGCTCAGGAGTGAATTAGCTACGGCATCTGTACAGCATTCCCAACGTTCGGGAGGCAGCTTTAGCTATATTAAGGATGTGTGATTTCCAGGACATATTGGAGGAAATGGTGAGGCTTAACATATTTATATCAGAATTAGGCAGGATGATAGCGTCCTGAAATGTAATTGGTGGGAGATCGTCTAATTTACAAAGTGTAATTGGTAAATATTGAGTTTTATTACTATTGAATTTAACCAAGTTTATACCTCCCCATTCAGAGATGCTGCACAGATCCGCATTGAAAGAAGTAATGATATCAGCTCTAGAAACAGATCTAGTTTGAGAGTTAGGGGGAAGGGGAAATGTGAAGAAGAGTGAAGAGTAGAATCATCAGCGTAAGAATGGATAGAATTAGTTGTAGTGTGAAGTTAATCATTGATAAAGAGAAGGAAGAGACTAGGTGAAAGAACAGAACTCTGTGGGACACCACTATTGGTAGAGAAAGAGGGAAAGATCGATCCCTCGACAACAACTGCCATGGATCGGATCTCAAGGAAACTGGGGATTAGAAAACAAAGTGGGGGAGAATAAACAAAAAGAGGGAAGTTTAGATAGCAAAGACTTGTGCCATACCCTGTCAAATGCTTTGGAGATGTCGAGGGCCACGACGAAAGTTTCCCCATAATCCCTAAGAGAGGAGTAAGTGATGAGGCCGAAGCACTTGCTGACAAGAGAGTGTTCTGTTGGCGCTCCCAACAGAACACTCTCTTTTCATTCAGCGGAAGTGCCTCTTGAGCATTTTTATATATGATTCGAACACAAGCATTAAGAACATAGTTAATATTGTGGTGCCAGTCACATCTTTATAGTAATCATTACTTGTTGGAGATCTCATGACTGATCTCACCACTACTGCCTCAGATATTACCCCCGCTTATCACCACCACCATCCACTCCTTTAACTTCCACGCCAGGTAAGTTAAAATAAGGGAAGGGGTAGTGTGTTTGGGGGCGGCAGGAGGCGAAAAGGTCAGTGGTTGTATTTCTGGCATAAAAAATAAAAGTGCCAGACGCCAGGTAATGAGGAATGGTGGTGGGCTGGGGACCTGGAGAGACTGGAAGGTGGATATACAAATAAACCTGAGTGACTTTTTCCGTGCACTTTGCTGCCAGAACCCGGAATTAAGTCTTTTTTTTTATAGAGGTTACGACCATTAGCTGTAATTAATATGGGCTCCTGGCCTGTCTTGTGTCAAGCTTGTCCTTCCTGTGCGTGAGGCTTCACCCAGGGCCTTCCCCCAAGACCATTTGTCTTTTGGGCCTCTGCTCAAGGTGTATGTCTCCAGGATATGTCCCAGAGCCTTCCTCCGGTTTTATGTATCCTCATGGCGCTCCTTTAAGATTAATGGTTTTCTAAGGACGGTTCATTAGGCTTATGTGTTCTAGATCTTTCTCCCAGGCTTCTGAGTCTACAAGGTCTCCCCAAGGCTCATAATTATGTCCTAAGGCTTATGTGTCCTCAGGGCCTTCCCCGAGGGTCACATGTCCCAGCAATGTTAACAGTCACTTCATCTAGGATTATGTGTCGTCCAGATCCACCTTCCTGGAGCATGTGTCATTCAGGTCCGTCCCACAGAACCTCTCGTAGGACACGTGCTTGTATGTGTTCATTTAATGTAGTGTTGTGAAAGTATCTCAAAATATACTGAAAATTTAACAAGACTGTAATGATATGCAAAACAAAATATGATCATGTATTCTTCATTTCTCTTGTTTTGTATCATATGTGTCATGAACATTACTTGCCTACACATTTATCTATCATCTACTGTTAATTTCTTATACAAGCTTATATTCATTTATATACTGATATTTCTATAAATGGAAAGTTCTGTTTCTGAAGGTCTGAATGTCTTCGTAACAGTGAGTGAAGAAAGCCACAGGTGTTGCTGTCGCTGTCTCAACCACCGTGATGTAAACACAGCAAACTGGTTCATGAGTCACCATCATCGTTGTTCACTTACTTGAATTACTCACATACACTTAACATCCTTAAGTCTTTTGGTCGGTTCACTTTGTAGATGTGTTTACTTGTCAGAATTTCTGACACAACTAAGTTTCAGTCAATAGGTAAATGTTACAGAATAACTTACGCTTAAATATCCTGAAAATACTTTATTACTGTTATAAAAAAATACATAAGATTTGTGTAAGCTACTTAGCTCATGGTCCTTAATATTGTTTACGTTATAATTCTTGCTTAACAACAGTGACATTCAAAATAATGATTTAACAATCGTTCTATGAAATGCTGTTTCGGTATTGCTAAACTCCGCCTACACCCATGCTCTGCTTTTAGTTATCGTAATCAGAAAGCTTAAATTTGAAAATACAAATACATTAATACATTTAAGTGTAGCATATAGGTACTGTACGTTCCATACACATGATCAAAACAGTATCTGTCCGCATTGCGTCCGATGATTTCCTAAATGATCAATACACCTTTGCCGCAACGTAACCTCCAACATGAACCACGATACTCATTGCTCGCAAGATTAATCTATTTTCTTCTTAATGTGTATGTAATAACAATACTTATTGTGGATAAAATAGGAAATCACACACATGTCTACTCCGCATATTCTTGCCTTGTCAGCTTCAGAAGCTTCATGCTACAGCACCAAGACCTGACCGTGAAAGCACCTGGTGGTCTGATCCAGCAGAGTAGCAACGAGGTTAACAAGTTGGCCTCTCTCATCACACTGCTCGAGTTCAGTAGTGGAACCCTGATAACATGTTATATCCGATTCTACTGAAATAGTTTGCTCCTTTTCGCAGCCAGAGTCTTTTGCTTGGAACGAAAAGTTCTGGCTAGGGAATCGAATCAGTACTGTGACATTGGCCATGTGTTTGTTAAACATAAGTTTGAGTGTTTGCTGGAGAATTTGGACATTTGGTAACGTCACATTACACTCTGCTGTCCTCAAAGTAAAAATGAGAACCAATGAAGATATATTTCTGTTAAGTTCTTCAGCGATTCTCTTTGTGCACTGCTCAAACTCCTCTAAAGAGCCAAGGGTGGTGACAACAACCACAGTGGAGCTTGAAGTTGAAGTAATATTAAAATCACTTGAGAGGTAGACATGTTGAGAATTTTTTCTGAGTGAACTCTCCAGACACTTAAACACATGTATACATTCACTGCCACAGACGAGGGGGACGCTGGTGTGGGGAATATAGTTAGTCTTTGCAAAAGATGATTCAGTCTGGTTTATACTAGAATGATCATCTGAAATAGGAGTTTGTAGTTCGACACGAACACCATGGTGTAAACTTGTCCCTCCTATTGTAGCTTCAGCGTCACGTGTCAGTTTATCAGGATGTGTGTAAGGCATAGTGAGGGCTTTGCAGATGACGGCAATACGACGATGATGTCTTGGCAGCAGGGTGCGAGCCACCACCAGGTCCCGCTCCTCTGTCACCTGTAGGATAAGTTGGAAATATATACATTCTATCACTCACAATTTATCTTCATAATATTTGTAAATAAGCAAACTCAAAAGACGAGTGATGTCATTCATTCTGTGTCAACTTCCTTTAACTACTGATTCTCTATATACTTCTCTTCGCATACCTCACAATACCTCTCGAGGGAGGGGCGGGACATACCTTCCACAGGTGTGGTGTGCCCGGCACAAGCTTGGCCCTGATGCCGGCGTGGTGGAAGGCCAGAGCGAGGCACTCCGTCCCGTGATCCAACTCGTCCTCACTGCACCTGTATACAGACACCCATGTCACCACCAAGTTAAAAGTTTTTGAGAAAAAAATAAGCCTATTGTGAATCAACGTACAGTAATTCACATTATGGTTATGCTATAGATACTAAACAAATGAAGAACACTTGGATTGATTAAATGGATTGTACATTTTATGTTTAAATTTTAAACATATTTTACAACATACAGACAAACTAATGAAGTTAATTCAAAGTATCAGTACATGGCAACAATGAAGCGAGAGACATTGAAAACAAGTTTCCTCACACCGTGAGTCCACCACAGGTGTAGTAAGGCTTGTATAGAAGTGTGCTGTGCTGTGCTGTGCTGTGTTGTGCAGCTCATTCAAACTTACTCTTACCTTTCACATTGTCTGTGTTTTTATTTCAGTATTTTGTGTGTTTATGCTACATATTTTTCTTTGGTGACTGTTTAATGTGTCTCACTCTCTCTGTTTTTTTTATCTGTCTGTCTTGTCTTGCTGGGAAGACGTACAAAATTAGACATGAGACGTGGTGATCATACTACTGAGTTAAGCTGTATAAAGCACCGTACATAAGTTGACGAGGCGAAACACTGTTGTATAAACCATTTATTTTTATATTAAGGTTGAATCTTTTGAGTCTAAGTTAGGTTAAGCTAGGTCTTTATCATAACTTTAATTCGTAGAGAGAGACCAGAAGAGTTTCAGTCTTAATTATGTACCAAGGCGTCGTCTTGCCAAAGACTGACTAAAATATAAAACAAGATGATATGAATCGTAAGATGTTAGTCTGGCGTAAAAATGAAGTTAATTTTGGTTGGAAAGTGTCCTGCAAGATGGCTCCCCTTATAATTATATAATAATTTGCCCCGTGAGGGGCAAATTTATCGGCAATGGGCACCCCCCCTTGCATCCTGTGCAAGGCGTAGCGCAAAAAGCGTTCATGTTTGCCTAGTCGACTCATGCATTTAAGGGCATAAGTGCCTGAAGGGCCATGGATTTCATCGGCAAGTTACATATAGTGACTAATAAGGCCTGTCAGCAGGAGGAGGGATATTGGTCAGAAGGAAAACTTTTGTATAGTTGATTGTGGGTGCGGGCAGACCTTCGGTACGGGGCGCGAGGAGACGACATCACTGAGTGTGGTTCACCAGGACAGTGACTGTGAAACACCTGCAGAATAGTGGGATTCGATGCAATATTTCTGTGAATGTGCAGAGAAGAAAGCTCTGTGGTTAGGGCATTATTAGTGATTGCTTAGATTTTTTTTCTACATTGAATAGAAGAGGCGAACTGCACCACTGTATACAACCAACCCAAAAATGACAGCAGTGTTTCATTCGGGAGCGCCTATGTTTTATATTTCAAAGGTTGCTAACTGTTTAATAGTAAAGTGGGGCCTGGCAATGAGTATAAATCCAATCTTCACTGAAGCTGTTTTTTGGTCATAGATCTGACAAATTTTCTCACGGTAAAACTTACGATAAGAGTGATGCCTAAAAGGTTCTAATTAGTTACGTTCTTGTGGCTTTAGTTAGGTACGAGCAGACTCACATTTTAGGGGCGGGGGAGTGAGACAAAACCCACCTTAAAGTTATAAACCTTAACAGCGATCCAACCCTCACTTCCTGTCCTTATTTATTCCAGCTCATTGTTGTGTTCTCTACTAGCTGCCCCGATACTTACACTCAAATGAATTTTAAAACAACTCATATGAACATTCTTCTACTGTCTCATCTTATAGACCTATAGACTCTCCCTCCTCAACCTTCAGCTATTGTAATACGAGTATAACGTAGAGTAAGCAACTAGCTCTTATCATCCTCAAACTAATATTCTAATTTGCCAAATGTAAGGCTCAGTTTGAGGAAAGGATACAGTGGAGGAACTTTGTGTGCCGTTGTTGTCATGTCAGGTTCCCAAGTTACCTTTAAGATTGAAAAATAAAAGTACACCATGGTCACATTTGTACATATTATATCTGGCTACTACTGATGATTGGTTTTGTGCTTACGAACAGGTATTACTATGGACAAACATTAACACATTAACAACCACCATTCATATTCATTCCCTTTCCCAAATGCTTTCGTCCTGGTTCCTCTCTCGTTCTCCCCTTAACGGTTCAACCTCAGACTCACCTGCGGTACGCTTCCCTGAGCACGTCAAACCTGAAGGCCTGTGGCATCTCCGAGTTGCGGTAGTGAGTCCTGGTGAGACTCTCCTCTAGGAAGCCCTTAGGGTCGGGTTTCACGACAGTAGAAACCAGTGGCCGTACCGTCCCTGCCACCCCGTAACGCTCAGCCGCCACCACCACCTGCAACAGAAGTTGAGGAAGATTTTTTATTATTATTATTATTTTTTTTTGTAGACAACGGCTAGTTTATTATGTACCGTATACTCATCCTGCGAACGGTAGCACAAAGGTTTACAGAGCAAAGGTCACAAATGGTCCTTTTCAAATCCCAGTGGTCAGTTCGTTGTGGCATGAATATTACATAAAATTTTCAGTTCATGGCGTGTCAAGATCTTTACATAGGAGATGACTTATCAACTAAAGGTAAAAAATATGGATCCAATCTTAATATATCAGCTATCTTGACACAAACAATAAAGGACTGTGCCACTGCACACAAAGTAAAGTTTTGGACTTGTCCCTAAAACGTCCATTGTATTTCTCAGTCTAGGACGTAACGTTTGAGTGTTTTTTTTTTCTACAGGGATTAGCCCACCCAGGCACAGGTCACTGACCCACATCGGGGCCTGAATAATAATAATAATAATAATAATAATAATAATAATAATAATAATAATAATAATAATAATAATAATAATAATAATAATAATAATAATAATAATAATAATAATAAAGAAATACAAAAATGAAAAAAAGAAGATAAAAAGTGAGAAACAATAATTATACAGTATGTATGTTGTGTTGTCAATGGTAAGAGAAACAATTGAGATCATGCAATTGTGTGTAATTGAGGCAGAAAGTCAGATCAGCAACATGGGACTTCTTCACATTTTTGTGATGCCATATGGCAGCAGGGTCTACCATTAGACAATAAATTGTGCTTCCAATATCTTTCCAGGCGGTAGTACCTCCCTGTTTGGTAGCTGTGTGCTACAGTGGTCATATGTATGGCCACACACTTTACATTTTGTATTGTTCACATCTGCATTAAGGGTATCCTGCCAGGAGCACTTTGATCTAAATCTTAGTCTATACTAGGAGTTACAACATCATGGGGTCTACTGATCTTGTTACTGGTGAACAATGAATCAATTGGTAACTGTTTGCACTCGTCTGTTTGATTCGAATTCACATCAAGGTTCTATTCTAATTACAGTTTCATGATTCTGTTTGATTATAATAGATTAAATTAAAGATTGTCTATACTTGACGCAAGTTTAGATATAGGGTATCAGATATGCCTGTGTGAGAGGGGACCCACTGTTATATATATGTATGCTTATATGCTGCCTTTATTGAATATATATATATTATATATTATGTTACTTCTTACCAAATTCAGAAAGTGTTTAGGCTTGTGTAAACACGAAATGTGTTAGGCACGTGGTAACCAAGAAAAGAGAATAAACGCCCAGCCAGACCGACCATGTGCTTGTCATTCTCCCATTAAATAACGCAAGATACTACACTGGCGACGAGGATGGGATTCACAAAGTGTTGGTGAAGTCCTTGAAGAGAAGATAGTGACCACTGAAGGGAAGGCTACTCTGAACCTGGAGAATTTAAGTGAAGAGGGCAACCATGGCTGGCGTCAGTGGATACATCGGACGAGTGGGGGAGTATGATGCAGACAAGGAAGATTTCACATCATATTGAGAGAGAATGGACTTCTTCTTTCTGGCAAATGAATTAATGGACGACGGTGGTGATGCTGAGAAGAAAAATGTCCTTGAAGAGAAAAGGAAAGCAATCTTTTTGACAGAGGTAGGAGCTAATGTTTATCCTACTCTGGTCAATCTGCTTACTCCAGACAAACCCAAAGACTCCTCACTTATTCAGATTACCAAGGTTCTGAAGCAACATTTTGATCCTGCTCCACTTGAGATCGCTGAGAGTTACAGATTTGGCACCAGAGATAGAGGTAAAGATGAATCAGTAAGTAATTATATAGTAGCTTTGAAAAAGTTATCCATTCACTGTAACTTTGGACAGTTCTTGAACCGAGCTCTAAGAGACAGGTTTGTAATAGGCCTCAATTATGAAAAAATACAGAATAAGTTAATGAACACCACTAACTTAACTTTTGAAAGTGCATGTCAGATAGCTACAAGCATGGAATTGGCCGAGAAAAACACCAGAGAATTTGTTCCCAATGCTGGTAGTGAAACAGTTAGCAGTAGTGGCTCAGTGTGTAAAGTAACTGTAGCTAAAAGGAAAAAGTATACCACAAAACAAGGAACACATGCTGATTTAAAATGTAAGAGGTGCCGAGGAAAACATGAAAGCTTTCAGTGTAAGTTCAAGAATTCAAAATGTTACAATTGTCAACGTATTGGACATATTGCTCCTGCCTGTAGAAGTGATAAAGGTAGAGTATATGCCGTTGAAGGTGGAGAGAAGGAAATGAAAAACAGTATTCATGAGAGTGTTAGTAATTTTGGATCTGATAATGATGAGAGTGCCCATGTGTTTACTATTTACACCAGTCGTGAAGAGAGAGTTAAACATAGGTATAATGTGGACTTGTGTATTAATGACACACCTGTAACCATGGAAATGGATACTGCAGCTGATTTCTCCATAATGAGTAAAGATATGTATGAGAAACTATTTGCGCATGTGCCTTTAGAAGACTCAGGTGTCAAGTTGAGAACTTATACTGGAGAGATTTTGAGCACAGAAGGAAAATTAGAGTGTGAGGTAAAGTACAAAAATCAGAATTTAAAGTTGCCATTAATTACCGGTATAGCTAGTTATGTGAATAGACCAACTTTGTTAGGTAAGAACTGGTTGTGTGAACTTGAGATGGACTGGAAGGAGATATTTAGTGTTAGAATGTGTAACAGTATTCCAGTTCTTGAGAAATTGCTTGAAAAATACAATATTTTATTTGTTAAGGGACAGGATGGTATAAAGGGTTATGAAGCTCATATCACCATTGACAAAGATGTTACACCCATATATGCTAAGTCCAGACCTGTTCCTTATGCATTGAAAGGTGAGTTTGAGAAGGAATTAGACAAGCTTGTGAGTGAGGGAATTATTGTGAAAACCGCCAAGAGCAATTGGGTTACTCCAATAGTAATTGTACCTAAAGCTGATAAATCTGTTAGGCTATGTGGTGATTATAAAGTTACCATTAATCAAGCTGTTGAGGATGAGCAATATCCCTTACCCACATCTCAAGATTTGTTTGCTGCACTAACCGGTGGAACCATTTTCACTAAGTTAGACTTGTCCCAAGCATATGCTCAGGTTTCTGTTGATGCTGAAAGTCAACAGTACCTTACCATCAACACTCATAAAGGATTGTATAAGTTCAAAAGGTTGCCTTATGGTGTTAAAAGTGCACCAAAGTTATTTCAGTGCATCATGGACAAAATTTTTTTGGGTCTTCCCAATGTGTTATGTTTTCAGGATGATGTCCTTATTGTTGACAGTGACATCCAAAATCATGTCAAAACCCTAGCCACAGTATTCGAAAGATTGTTGGCACACAATGTCAGGCTCAACAAGAGCAAATGTTCATTCCTAGCTAAAGAAGTAACTTATCTTGGCTACAAAGTGAATGCAGAAGGGCTGAGACCTGTAGAAGATAAAGTAGGAGCCATAGTAAATTTACCTGCTCCAAAAATGTCAGTGAATTGAAAGCTTTCCTAGGTATGATACAGTATTATTCAAGGTTCTTGAGTGGACTTTCATCAGTTTTAGCCCCTCTGCATGAACTATTATAGAAAGGGATACCATGGAAATGGAACAATGCAACTCAGAAGTCATTTGAAGATTGTAAAGCTGCTCTGTCTAGTACTGATGTTTTGGTCCACTTGGATACCAGTAGAACACTAAAGCTTGCTTGTGATGCATCAGGCTATGGATTAGGTGCTGTCATAAGTCACATAATGGATAACGGTGAAGAAAGACCCATTGCATATGCCGCGAGAACTCTTACCCAAAGCGAGAAAAATTATGCACAAATAGAGAAAGAGGCTTTGTCTATCATATTTGGAGTAAAGAAATTTCACCAGTATCTATATGGGAGGAATTTTGTTTTAATAATTGATCACAAGCCTCTCTTGGCAATTTTGGGTCCTAAATCACCTGTTCCTACACTTGCTGCAGCAAGAATGCAGAGATGGGCTTTGATATTGTCGGCATATGACTATGAGATACAGTACAGACGTTCAGATGATCATTCCAATGGAGATGCTTTGTCAAGGTTGCCATGTAGTGGATCAAATGATGGAGTAGAGCCTAAGGTTTATGCTGTAACCATGATAGCAGAAGATTTTCCAGTCACCTCCGGAATGATTGCTCATGAAACTAGGAAAGATGTTGTATTAGGAAGAGTGCTGGAGTATACACTAAATGGATGGCCAGAGATTTGTCCATCATTAGACTTGCAACCGTATCATTTAAGGGGATGTCAATTATAAGTAGAACAGGGATGTGTGTTGTTGGGTATGAGAGTGTTAATTCCCCAGTGTTTTAGAAGGCAAATTTTGAATGAACTGCATTTTGAACATCCAGGTATATGTGCTATGAAAGCACTGGCCAGAAGTTTTGTGTGGTGGCCTAAACTGGATGGTGAAATAGAAATGATGGTACGTGAGTGCTCTGTTTGTCAGAATGTTAGGAGTATGCCACCCAGGACACCTTTGAAAACCTGGAAATGGCCTACCCGTCCCTTCCAAAGAGTACACATTGACTTCTGTGATAAGGGAACAGACAAATTTCTTGTATTAATTGATAGTCATTCAAAGTGGATTGATGTTAAGCACATGTACAGTACTAATGCTGGTAGCACCAGTGATGAATTAAGATTAATATTTGCCGAACATGGAATACCAGAAGAGGTAGTTTCTGACAATGGTCCTCCATTCCAATCATCAGAGTTTAAAAACTTCATGAGATTCAACGGTGTAAAGCATGTACTGACCCTACCCTATCATCCTGCCTCTAATGGTGCAGCTGAGAGATCAGTTAGAATTGTAAAGGAAGCACTTTCCAAGCAGGTAATTCAAGGAACTGTAGGAAAATCAATGAAACACAGACTAGCAAATTTCTTACTCAGATACAGAACCACACCACATAGTGTGACAGGATGTACTCCTGCAGAGTTAATGGTGAAGAGACAGTTGAGAACAAGATTAAGTTTAGTTAAGCTTAGTCTGTTTGAAGTTGTAGAGAGGAAACAAGCTCAACAAAAGATGTATCATGATAAGAGTTCCAGTGAAAGAGTGTTCAAGGTAAATGATAGGGTGAGAGTTAGGAACATGGCTAAAGGTTATGGTACTGTACATGCAAAGTGGATAACTGGTGTCATTGACAAGGTATGTGGATCTAGGACATATTTAGTGAAATGTGGTAACTCTTTGAGATATGTTCATGTGGATCACATCATTCAGGCACATGACGAGATGAATGTAGCACCAGGACATGATGATAAACTTGACAGTTTCAGATGATCATCATCATGATGATGTCAAAGATGATGTTTCCCAGCTTCCACTCACTGTGTCAACTGATTGTAGTGACGATATGTCTGTCACTGATAATGCACAGAGTGCAAGTGAAACCCCTGTAAAACTTGATGGAGGGAATAGTCGTAGAAGATCAAACAGAGTTAGGAGACCTGAAATTAAGTTAGACCTCTAATTATCTGAATTGTGAACAGGCCTTTCAAAACTGTTTAGTTAGGAAGTTATATTTGTTGTGTTCTATTCCCTTCTTCCCTGCCATATGTAATTCTGTACGTTTTGTTTATTGAGGATTTGTAGCAGCCATGCTCTCTTTTGAAAGGGAGAAATAGTGTTATATATATGTATGTTTATATGCTGCCTTTATTGAATATATATATTATATATTATGTTACTTCTTACCAAAGTCAGAAGGTGTTTAGGCTTGTGTAAACACGAAATGTGTTAGGCACGTGGTAACCAAGAAAAGAGAATAAACGCCCAGCCAGACCGACCATGTGACTTGTCATTCTCCCATTAAATAACGCAAGATACTACACCCACAACAGCTTGATCTTGACACCCTTGTCAGCAAGGTGCGTATATTTCAAATAACAATACAGTACTTCTAAGAAACTGCTAGAACATACGAGTCTGGAATTGGTGAATCTAAATGGATGCCAACACAGCTGCACATAAAATGGTTTCTGGATTAGACCAGCTGTACAAAGCTGCCACTTTGGTAGACTTTTACCTTCAACATCACAACACATACCGTACATAACCGCTTAAAAGTCTGACTGTACATAGTGCTCACCTCCAACACACCGCCAAATTGAGTGCTCTTGAATAGTTACAGAGGTTGCAGACAAAAAACATCCCTGCTGTTGTGACTCAGTCTAATGGTAACAAACTACAGAAGGGAGAAAAAATTAACAACTCGGCGTGTATTTTACAAATTAAACTATTTTCCATCCTCACTGCTCTCTAAAGTGGAAGTACGGTGAAACTGCAAACTGATGATGTATTTGGGACAAAAAATACTTACACACACGCTTATACTTTGTAATGTCACGTTGTTTCCAACATCTTACAAATTGTCCCAATTCTTCTTCTTCTTCTTCTTCTTCTTCTTCTTCTTCTTCTTCTTCTCCTTCTCCTTCTCCTTCTCCTTCTCCTTCTCCTTCTCCTTCTTCTTCTTCTTCTTCTTCTTCTTCTTCTTCTTCTTCTTATTATTATTATTATTATTATTATTATTATTATTATCATTATTATTATTATCATTATTATTATTATTATTATTATTATTATTATTATTATTATTATTATTATTATTATTATTATTATTATTATTATTAATTATACACAAAGCAATATTCACCTGAGTGAGGATAGTGAGGGGCAGGAGTGGGCGGACACCATCATGCACCACCACTACGTCCGGCGGGTCCTCTGCCAGGGCCTCCACTCCGGCACAGATGGACCTGTGTCGGCTGCCTCCACCCTGCCAGGTACGTAGCCTATGTTAGTACTCTATTGATTTGGTGCCCGTGATATACAACAGTACACACCGTAGCTAGAAATAAATAATCACATGTAGTGCCATGCGCCTATACTCTATAATCTATACCATGCACAGCATTCTCTAACACCTTTTATCACAACTGCCATTATTATATTTTTGAGGCGGGTGTCCGCCAGCTCCAGGTATGTACAGTCTTGTTCAAGATTCTTCGAACACTGCTGGAGACAGCTGGCAACTCAAGGCCGTTTGTTTACTATAGTATGCAAAAATTATGAATGAATGTAAAAGTGATCGGTGATTGGTTAATTAGTTCCCCGTTGCTAAATTAATGGTTAGGATTTGTTGTTTCGTATTATATTAAACTACATTCTATAGTAAACAAACGGCCTTGAGTTGCCAGCTGTCTCCAGCAGTGTTCAAAGAATCTTGAACGAGACTGTACATTCGACCGTGTAGTGCCTTCTGATATGTTTATACACTTCGATTAGGTTGCCCCTTGCCCGTCTGTAGTATATGCTAGGTAGTTGCAAGCATTCTAATCTCTCTGGATAGTTAAGGCTCCGTAGAGCAGGCACCAGTCTGGTGGCCCTCCTTTGGACATTTTCAATCAATTGACAGTCTGTAGCATACTGTAGCAGTACTCCAGACGGGGAAGCACCTCACTCTTGAAGAGCGTGACGAGCGACGGACCATCCAACTATCTAAACGACCTTCCTATAAGACCTACTTTTTTATGCTTGATTCACCTTCTTCTTACAATGGTACGAGAGCTTCAGTTCCTTGTCGACATACACACCCAGGTCCTTTTCACATTTGGTCTCAATTAATGCAGTTTATTCGTCCTGTTGGGACATGTGATATGCCTCCTTACCGTTGGTGCGACCCAGGTGCATCCTTTTGCGCTTCTTGACATTGAATCTTAGCAGCCATTTCTTCGACCATTCTTGAAGCTCATAGAGATTTTTCTGTAACTCTTCGCAGTCTGTTTGGGTTTTAATTTCCCTAAATAACTTGGCATCGGCAGCAAACATTTGTATGGAGGAGTGTATAGGTTCTAGCCTATCATTTATGAAGATAACAAACAACAACGGGCCCAATACACTGCCCTGTGGTACCCCGCTTGTCACAGGTACACATGACGATTTCGTGTCATTAATCACTACACACTGCTTGTGGTCAGGCAGAAAGTCTCCAATCCACGCGGACATTTCCCCGAATCCCGTATCCTTCCAATTTAATTCTCGGCATTTCATAGGGTACACAGTCGAAAGCCTTGGCAAAATCTAGGTATATATTGACGATATTGCCACCTTGTTCTAGAAATTGAGTCCAAACATCCAGGACCTTGAGTAATTGTGTTAGGCAGGAGGGTCCCGGCATAAAACAGTGTAGACAGTCCTTTACAAGGCTGTTTCGTAGTAGATGTTCCATCATGCAATCTCTTATGATGCTCTCTAGTACTTTACACAATATGATGGTCAGGCTCGCTGGTCTATGATTATTCGAGGAGTGACGATCTCCATTCTTGAATATCGGACTCACATAAGCCATTTTCCAGTTATCAGGGACCTTTTGCTCATCCAGGTATTTGCAGCTCGTTACACAGTTCTCTTAACACTCTAGGGTGTACCATATCAAGGTCGGGACTCTTGTGAATCTTTAGCTTTGACAATTTATTTCTTATACCTTCTTCTGAGAACACAATGTGGGTCAGCGCCGTGCCAAACCGTCTTTCCTCAAACTCAGGAAGATTGTTCGCATCCTCTCTTGTGAAAACTGAGGAAATGAAACTGTTCAATGCCCCCTCCTTTTGCCCTGGTCAAAATTTGCATAACTACCATCTTCAAGTCTCAGGTCCGAAATGCCTACTCGCGTTTTTTATTTCGACTTTGCATTTGACTTTGTCCTCATTATCATTTTTCCTAACCCACGTCTCGAAATCCTGAATTTTCTCTTTAACTTTGTCAACCGCCGCATGGTTCATGTGTAACTGCCTCCTTGTATTCCTGAAGGCACTGGGTTTGGTCTTGGGTATATAGTTATCTATCAAATGATTCACTTTACTGGCTATGATATTTAGCGTAGCGTCTGCGTTCTTACATCTTAGTAAGTCAGGCCAGTGTATACTCCTTATGTCCTCCCTCAGCCTTTCCTTAATTATCCTTGTAATATTTGAACCTTGGCCTGGTTTTGTCATGAACTAAGTAACAGTTAAACCTGAAGGACAACGTTACGTGGTGACTGGTGCCAACGGTGGCTAGATGTTTCAGCTTGGTCACCATACCCTCCTCGTTAGGAAGAGGTCCAGCGGTTTGGATGCTTGCTCCCCCTTGTAGTGAGTCGGATCTTTAACATGTTGGAATAGAAAATTGTCTTTCAGAGTTTCTACAAAAAGAGTAGCGGGATTGTTTAGGTCGTTTGGCGTCGATTCATTTCTCCAGTCGATGTCGCCATAGTTAAAGTCCTCATGACAAGGGGTTCGCTAGGGTTTAGCGCCGTTGCGTTGTCAATTAAGGCTCTTAAGCTTCTTTGGTTTAAAATGCTACAATTTGAGGATTTGTAGATACATCCAACAACAGTAAACTTCTCCCCTTTAGCTTAATTTTACACTGCTTTGATTCTTCAAAAATAACCTCTCCCTGCACCCTCACCTGGCTGGCTCTAAGGTCTTACCTTGCATAGATAACCACACTCCTCTTGCAAGTTTCTTGAGAAAGGCTCGTAAATGAGTCATATCCATGTATATTGAACTCACAAACGTCTGGTTCGATCCTCCTGTTTTTGTACAACAGTTCTACAACACCTACTATATCGAGTTGATGTACAGTAGTCTCACCCAAAAGTTCGTTAACTCTCCCAGCCAGCTATTGCTGCACTGCTTGCTTCAGATGTTTGAAACTGTCTCAGTACCAACCAGAACATGAAACCGATAAGAATGAATCTAAAGGTTCGAAGTAACAGACTCAAGCTCATACATCTGAAGCAGGCAGTGCAGTAATAGCTGGCTGGGAGAGTTAACGAGCTTTTGTGTGAGACTGTACCTTCAGTGGTGTTTCAGACTCCCCTCTCTTGTCAAGGAACGTGTCAGTATTATTATATATGACTTTAAAGCCGAAAAATGTCCTGGGTAATGTCTGACCTTGGTATTGACTCCTCCCCCACCCCCGCTCCATTCTCTGCAGCTGCAGCGTTTACTGAATCCCTTGGTTGTGTTTTGTGGGGTGTGGTCTGAGATGACTTTGTTGTTGTTGTTGTAGTTGTTTCGTGTGTGTGTGTGTGTGTTCAGGATTATAATTATGCAACTCTATTTTAAGGAAAAAAATTAGTGATTTACTTTAAGTGTAAAAAATGTAACAGTCCTTCCATCAGTTTACCAAAGAGTGTTGATGGAGCCATCAGCGGGTTCGTGCTTTGTTTCGTTGTTGCAGTGGTAGATAAGATACAACAACAACACTCCGTCTTTATATCCTCAGCAGTCAGCACCATCTGTATCCTCAGCACCATCTCCTTGTACCCTCAGCACCATCACCTTGTACTCTCAGTACCATCACATTGTACTCTCAGCACCATCACATTGTATCCTCAGCACCATCACATTGTATCCTCAGCACCATCACATTGTGTCCTCAGCACCATCACATTGTACCCTCAGCACCACCTCCTTGTACCCTCAGCACCATCACATTGTACCCTCAGCACCATCACCTTGTACTCTCAGCACCATCACATTGTATCCTCAGCACCATCACATTGTACCCTCAGCACCATCACCTTGTACTCTCAGTGCCATCACATTGTACCCTCAGCACCATCACCTTGTACTCTCAGCACCATCACATTGTGTCCTCAGCACCATCGCATTGTATCCTCAGCACCATCACCTTGTACTCTCAGCACCATCACATTGTATCCTCAGCACCATCACATTGTATCCTCAGCACCATCTCATTGTACCCTCAGCACCATCACATTGTACCCTCAGCACCATCACATTGTGTCCTCAACACCATCTCCTTGTACCCTCAGCACCATCACATTGTACCCTCAGCACCATCACCTTGTACTCTCAGCACCATCACATTGTACCCTCAGCACCATCACATTGTACCCTCAGCACCATCACCTTGTACTCTCAGCACCATCACATTGTTTCCTCAGCACCATCACATTGTACCCTCAGCACCATCTCCTTGTACCTTCAGCACCATCACATTGTACCCTCAGCACCACCACCTTGTGCCCTCAGCACCAACACCTTGTACCCTCAGCACTATCACCTTGTACCCTCAGCACCATCACCTTGTACCACTCAGCACCATCATCCTTGCACCACTCAGCACCATCATTTTTGTACCACCCAGCACCATCATCCATAAACTTCACCATCATTATTCATGTACCAGTCAGCATTATAACCCTTGCACCACTCAGCATCATCATCCATACACCACTCAGCGCCATCACCCATGGACCACTCAGGCCCACCATCCTAGCATCACTAATCATTATCATCAATGCACCACTCAGCACCATCATCCTTGAACCACTCAGCACCATCATCCTTGTGTAATAAACAGGAACACCCACACATACCGGCGCCCATACACCCACTTAAGCTACCGTTACAATTATAGCACTTGTCAGAACAGAATGGACGTAATTAGTTACAGGCTCAAGGAAAAACAGATGTAGGCCTATATGAGGTGCCATGAGGTTAGCTCCGCCCATACCGTGGACTAACCAGCCAGTGTACAGAACATAAAGATCTTTGAAAAAACTCTGCTCTGATTGGACACTGAAAATGTCTGTTCGGCAGCGAGTATACAGTGTTAGAAAGACAGACAGTTTAGCTGATGAAATGATAGAGTGCGGAGGTTATCCTGGGTGGCCCTACGAGTGTTGTACTGAGGCTTGGTAACGTGTATTTTAATGTTTTCCTGTAGTTGTGCGGGTGTATAGTGAGTTCCTTTTTCCCCCACAATATCTAGTTAGAAATAGGACGTACGAATATGACTTCATATCACGTCTTTGATGAATAAATTTAACTTGGAAGATATCTCTTTCCATTTCACTTCCTAACTAATACAGTAATCTAAATAAATGTCCCCCCCCCCTGTAACAGATGGATGGATACCGCTCAGCACCATAATCCATGCACCAGTCAGCAACATAATAACGTAAGAACATAAGAATGGGGAAAACTGCAGTGGGCCTATTGGCCCATACTGGGCAGTCCCGTTTGCACCTAACCCTTATCCAGCGTGTTCGAGTTAATGAGAAAGTTCGGTAACTTGTTCCACTCATGCACTACTCTATTTCCAAACCAGTGTTTATCTATCTCGGGCCGAAATCTAAATTTGCCTAATTTAAACCTTGTTACGAGTTCGTTCCTGGTTGGATAGCTTGAGTACCTTTGTTGTATCATATTTGTTTAACCCTGACTTCCATTTATACACCTCAATCATATCGCCCCTCACTCTACGTCTCTGGAGGGAGTGCAAATTCAGATGCTTTAATCTGTCTCCATACTCAAGGTTCCAAATGTCTTGTCATCCTCCTCTATTTGATTTCTAGGGTTTAGATATCTATTCTGTAGTACGCTAGTACGGTGACCAAAACTGAACTGCATAATCTAAGCGAGGTCTCACACGTGCACGATATAGTTTTAGAAATAAGCATTGTTATCTTGGTTTAAGATTTCTACTTATTTAATCTTTCTCACAGTCAGAGTCAGATTTCTCTATATCGGTGTTGTTCATCTGATATCTGGTTTCTCTGTTCAAATCTCCTAGGCAAAGTCCACATAAAATTCCATCTGCCATGTGAAAAATTTATTTAGATCTTCCTGTAGTTTTTCAGAGTCCTCGTCAGAATTAATTATATGCCCTATTTTAGTGTCATCAGCAAATTTACTTATGTTATTGTCTATGTCTATGACTATTATCCCGGGTGGGTTCGGCTATACATTATGTTGACTTAGGAAACAGTCTTGAACTGTTTCAAGAAAATCCTTTGCTCTAAGTTATCCGTAGGGTCGGTCCAATCTATTTGACTAAAGTTAAGGGATGCTATGATAGTATGCGCTCTACCAAGCTGGAGTTGTGTCTACCGGGATATTTACACTGCAGCATGCATTAACCTAACCTAACCTAACCTAACCTAACTTAGGTTAGGTTAGGTTAATACATATTAGATTAAGTTAGGTTAGGTTGGGTTAATAGACGCTACAGTGTAAATATCACGGTAGGCCAACTCTAGCTCGGTAGAAGGGGGGCACTGGTGAAGCGGTACTGCTCTTGCCTCGCAAGCAAGATGTCACGGGTTCGATTCCCGGGCCAGCGGAAGTTGTTTGGACACTGTTCCTAGTCCCCCTGGTCCCTGTTCACCTAGCAGCAAAGTAGGTACCTGCTGTAAATCGAAAGTTGCGAATTCGTATTCAGGGACAAGTTGTTGGAGCTTCCAATAACTTGCTTAGACATAAAACCATTGACTCTTCAGGCTTCTACGCCCTTGACTCTTCAGGCTTCTACGCCCTTGACTCTTCAGGCTTCTACGCCCTTGACTCTTCAGGCTTCTACGCCCTTAACTCATGAGACATAAGGCAAGCATGAACTTAGCATGCTTCCCTGTTGGGCGCTGTAAATGCTTCTGCGCTTCACCTTACACAAGGATGTAGGGGGTGCCCAATAAAAAAAAAAAAAAATAGCTGGGTAGACTGCCCCCAACTCGGTAGACCGCATACTATAGTAGCACCAGTTAGAGTCGCCTACCATACAGACTTTGCTATGTCTGGATGCCCTGCATATTTCATCTCACTTCAAATTATACCTGTCTATCGCTATGAAATAATTTGTAACCTTTAATTTGGTATTCAACAGGTAACTCATGTGAGTAAGTTTATCCATGTTTCGTTGAATGATATTATATCGATTTTTTCGGTGCATACTGACGCCCTGATTTCATTAATTTTATTTCTCATACTACTACAGTTTGCATAATAGACATTTAAGTTAGTCGTGGTAAGTCCTCTCATTGTTGCGTTTAAGTTTTAACTCCGCCTAATTTAGCTTTATCATTATTCCTAGCACTATTTCTCGCTCTGTTTACCCATGCCCACTGCAGTCTCCTTAACTCCTGTGCTCACATACTTCCCTAGAAGTTTAAAGACTTCGACATCTTTTGAACTGCCCTCTCAAGAAAGCCAGCCAGGGTTGTTACTCCATCCCTAGGAAAATGTACCCCATCCCCAGCATATTGGTCTTTTCTGCCATAGAAGTTGTCCCAGTTATTAATGAATGAGACTGATATTGACTTGCAATATCTGCCAAGACGGCCGTTGATACCAACTGCCCTTGACAGCTTTCCTTCTAGGCAGGAAACCACATATAATAGGGATCCCTCCCTTTCTCCTAATCCGGTCAATAGCTGCCTTGAACTTATCAAGGAGCTCCTGCTCCTGCACTGAAGCAGATAATGGGTTTGTTCCCATTACCAGACATGATATTGTCCATCCTGTCAACTATATCCCCCACCCCAGCTCCTGGCAAACACATTCTCATCCTATTTCTGTTTTTGGCACCACTCCGCATCATCATCCATGCACCACTCAGCATCATCATCCATGCACCACTCAGCATCATCATCCATGCACCACTATGTACCATTATCCATGCACAACTCAGCACCATTATCCATGCACCACTCAGCACCATCATCCATGCATCACTCAGCACCATCATCCATGCATCACTCAGCATCATCATCCATGCACCACTCAGCATCATCATCCATGCACCACTATGTACCATTATCCTTGCACAACTCAGCACCATTATCCATGCACCACTCAGCACCATCATCCTTGCACCATTTAGTACCATCATCAATGCATTACTCAGCACTATCATCCTTGCAGCACTCGGCAGTATTATCCATGCATCACTGAACACCACCATCCATGCAGCACTCAGCACCATCATCCTTGCACTACTCAGCACCATCACCTTGTACCATTAAGCATCACCATCCATGTACAACTCAGCACCATCATCCATGTACCACACCACAATCCATGCGCCACTCAGCATTATCATCCATGAACCAATCAGCACCATCATCCATGCACCAAACATTCTTCTCACTCAGCATCAATATATATCTGTCTCACCTGGATGACGGTGACCTTGGAAAGGCGTGCCTGTTGCACCACACCCAGCATCCTGGCCAGGTCGTCGGCCACCACCACCACCCGCGCCACCCACGGGACCTCCTGTAGTGCCGTCAGGCAGTGTATCACCAAGGGCCGCCCACTCACCTGAGCACACACAGATAACATGTCACATCATGGATGGCAGCAAGTTTGGAGGCAAATGGAGGCAACATGTTGCTTCACCCATTGTCTCCAGGTGTCACCTCAATTAAAGAACTAGACCATGCAAACCATACTCCTAAGAAGGTAGTTGGACATTTTCAGAGGCTACATTTATATGGTGTACTGTACATTATGTCTACATAAAATAGAGCTAACTTTAAGTTTTTGGTAAAGTTGTCAAAGGTTTGCAGCATCGTGGGAGTCTTGTAAGCGCGTGAAGCTACAGCTGCAAGAAGAGCACTCAGTGTACTCATCATCAGACATTTCCGGAAAAAACACTGGATCCTGAGAAATTAATTATAGTTTACATTTTATACTTTGATCTTTATTCCGGTAAATTTATCCATTGTATTTTAACAAACTATCAGCTTCTTGCGTGTCTTGTATTAGTGTCTACATACTCTACTGACAAACTCTTCAGATTCTCCGTGGGCATCCAGGTGAACAAGCGTGGGTAAAAACTCTACAGAATTATTTGAGGAAAGCTCCAACTATATACAAGTTTAATTATAAATATGCTGAATGCTGCATTAATAATTAACATTAATCCCTGTAGTCCAATCTTAGGGAAAGCAAAACATTCATCAATCTAAATATATCAAGACTTATGCGCGTCATATATATTATTTACTCTCTACAGAAATTGCACAAGAAATAGGCAATCGAAATTGAAGTAGCGCCCACTGAGTCAATAAAACTGATGGTGAGGGTGTGGTAGTGAGCAGCCTTTTGACTCTATTGATATAATGATGTAGCTCTTGTGATGTAGTATTACGTATTAATTAGAAAGGGAATCACTGAGATACAGGAAAGAGAATCCGTGTCATTATTTAATAGTTAATGATGAATGTGAGGGTATCTGGTACATCAAGTTATGGTGCTTCATAAATATTATAATATTATCAGAGGAAAGGATAAATAATGAATGGGTGTAAAATCACCTCGATTATTTTTTGGCAGAGTATTAAATATCTCAACTGGAGTCTCTAGTTTAATTTCTATCTTATATTTAAAAAAAATGTGAGCAGGACTAGAGGAAAACATACAGTATAAAGCTGATTCTTGTACACACTGTGTAGAGTCAGGAGAACAGCACCAACAGGTGCACTTAACTCACCGGCAAGTACTGTTTCGGTACTGAGTGGGCCATCCTCTCCCCGCAGCCTGCAGCAGGCACCACGGCCGCCACACGGCACTGCGGCACCACATCTTCCTGAATCATCTCAGCTTCCTGCGACATGGTGTATTAATTCTTCCGTGCGTCCTCAACCTCTGCCCAGGCGGTGTGGTACCTGATGCCTCCCCCTGTCTCACCTCCCAAACCGCCTTAGTGGCCCTGGGGCAGTGGTCGTTTCCTTCAACACCTATGAAAATAACGTGGACACTCATCAAAGAGTGTGTGTGTGTGTGTTGGTCACAGGCAGCGGGGCGACTGTTTAATTGGGACTTAGCGACGTCTGAAACAGGATAAGTTCTTATGAGAACACCGTTAATGCAAATTCTAAATTTCAAAGGAACGATGGAAAATATAGATACAGCGAAATTATGGCACACAAATGCAGTATATGCATATTACATAACTGTTCGTTTAAATATCAAACTATTGACGCTGTAACTGTACAATAATTTAGTCACCCTATGTGTTATTATTATATGAACCATTACCGTGGTAACATATGGCCACTTTTGGCGAGAATTTACATCAAAATCATATCATATGAACCTTGCCACATGCTTATCGAACCTACGAAGTTGGTGCATATATGCAAGCCCATTCTCGGGTTATTCTGTAGACATAGACAGACAGACAAACAGACAGACAGACAGACAAACAGACAGATAGACAGACAGACAGAGAGGACCGAAAGCAATACCCTGCCCGCAGGTACTAGGTAGTAGGAAGTAGGTAGCTATCAAACAGGGAGGTACTACCGCCTGGGAAAATATTGGAAGCATAATAATTATTTTGTCTAATGGTAGACCCTGCTGCCATACGGCATCACAAAAGTTGTGACCATGTCCCAGGTTGCTGATCTGAATTACTTTCTGCCTCATTTACACACAATTGTAGGGTCTCAATTGTTTCTCTTACTTTGACAACACAACATATTTATCGTTTCTCACTCTTGACCACTTTTTTCTTCTATTTCTGTACAGTATTTATTTATGATTCAATTAATTTCCCCCCACCCTAGGCCCCGATGTCGGTCAGTGACCTGTGCTCTGGTGGGCTAATTCCAGTAAAAAAGCTGTAAAACGTTAAATGAAACACACTTAATTTCAAGATCTCATCTGCAAAAAATATAAAAACAATAAAGAAATGAAATAGAGAAAATAAACAAATAAATAAATATGTCATGTGGTAGGGAAAGAAGTTGAAAAACACTCCGTCCTATTACCTCTGCTGGTGTCCACAAGATCACTGCTCCTTTGACCAAGTGGCGGAATTTTAGTTGTACAATAATCAGTCAGTGAACTACGCCCTGCGCCAGTAAAGAAAGACGAAGAGTCTGTCTCAGGGTGGCGGACAACTTTGATTATAATGAAGATGCCATCTCCAGCAATGGTAGACCTCATGCAATGGGTGCCATCGCATATCACACACTGTTGACAAAGTAAGATATGCACCATAGAAATATGACTGCTCAAGAAATTTCACAAGCTGTGAACTCTGAATCGGTGATGCAACAATGACGGTCATTCCCCAAGTCAGTAATGGCAGAGGTTGGGATCAGGTCTAAGGTCCTTTACACCAAAAAATGTCCCAATCACCCCAGACGAACCCATTAATGCCATTCCTCCTTCGCTGGATATATCAGTTCCTATTAATTACACTCCTATTGGTAATAAGCAAATGTTAAACACTGATGTGATGAGATGTGCACACTAGAAACTATTAACAGACACATAGAGAGTATTAAATCAAGTGAATGTTATGCTTTTACTAATGGTCCTGTGCAGACAAACACAGGTAGAACAGGCTGTGCAATTGTAATATTTAAAGAAAAAGAGATGATAGTGTCAAACAAGCAAAGGCTGAACAACTGGGCCAGCACAACACAAACCGAACTAACTGGAATCTACTTAGCTACAGACTACCTTAAAGAAAATGGAGGTGGGGTGATATTCTGTGAGTCTCAAAGTGCTTTAAAATCAATGAACAGCCCGTCAGGTTCTATATCTAAAGTTGTATGTGATATTAAAAGAAATGCAATAACTGTCAATGAGAAAAACTCTCGTATCGAATTTGTGTGGATTCCGTCCCATGTTGGAATTAGGTATCATGAACCGTGCTGATAGACTGGCCAATGAGGCATGTAAGAAAAAAAAAATGTTGACCGTGACCTCGGCCTGTCCAATGCTGTACTTAAAAACATTCAAGTCAGAATCATGAACTCTGATCTATGAAAACTGAAAAATGCAGAGAAACCTGGCAGTTGTAGCATTAGTAAATTTGAAAAATTTTGTGACGAGAGGCTACCGTTATGGCCAGCATAAGGACAGAACCAGACAATGTGATGTAGTCGTGGTCAGAATTAGGCTAGGATACAGACACATCTGGAAAGTTAGTAACGCCGTACCCATACCGGAACACTCAGCATGCAAACTTTGTGATAAACCTTTAAAGCATATATTTGAACACTATATTATTGAATGTGACACTGTCAAAGACTTCAGGCCACCTGGATTATTGCATCATGAACTTTGTAATTACTACATTGAATCGGGGGTGCTTGGGGACATTCTTGCTGTTTATCCCAAATTTGCTAGCCCACACTCATTAGTCTTCAATTAGAATATGACGTCCAATGTATATGAACTCTGACCTATGTATACTGTCAATGAATATGATGTATTTCTTTGTGTACGAACCTCTGTCCTGCATGGCAGTGAACAGTGACATCACCCACATGAATCTGATCTATGTATATATATGTAGGTATATATATATATATATATATATATATATATATATATATATATATATATATATATATATATATATATATATATATATATATATATATATATATATATATATATATATATATAGTGTAACCCCGCTTTATGCAGTCAATTGAACCCACGGAGGCCCGCGAAAAGCGGGAAACGCGTAAAGTGAACAACAGAACATATGGGATTAATTGAAATAGAGACTGGGCCGACCCCCCAAACTCCACTTTTTCCCGACACAATACGTACGTTTTAGTAAAAATAACATCTTAACTTTATGATGGTATGCACACACACATAATATAGAAGAGAAATATCAATAAGAGAATAATATACTGTACCAGGTAAAAGAAAAATCAAGGTTTAACACATTTGTCATGGTAGGTTAGGTTAGAAAAAATCAAGTTTTAACACTTACGTAAGGTTAGGTTATGTTTTAAAATTCAAGGTTTAACACTAACCTAAGGTTAGGTTATGTTAGGAAAAATCAAAGTTTAACACTTACGTAAGGTTAGGTTATGTAAGGAAAAATCAAGGTTAGGTTTAGCACTTACCTTAGTAGAAGAGATGTGTCGGCGTACGGGAATGGAGGCTGGTTCCGAGGCAGAGGGCAGGCTACTGGCCCTCAGGTGAGTCACCATCACTGTCATCCACACTTATGAGGGCCTCCCTGACAAATCTCTCAAAGTCACCATCACTGTCTCTGTCTCTGTCACTATCACTGGCTTGGGCTGGCTGTGGTGGGTTGCGGGAGAAGAACTCAGTAATGCTTTGTTGACGGCCAGTGTTGATGTTGTCGTGATACACCTTGATGTAGGGCTCCATAATCTGTAACAGGTGGGTAGTGAAGACTTCATACCGGTTATCGTCAGGGTCGTCGGAAAGGAGGAGCTTCAGTTTCTCTACACACTCGATGGCACCCCTTACATTACCATGCGTTAACTTGTGTTTTTCTCGGGATGACGCACCGCCTGTCTCTTCACTGACGTGATCGTCTTCTAACATCTCGTCGGCAGTCACATCAGGATCCCTCATCACCTCCATAATGTCGTTGTTGGTGGTCTCAGAGAAGCCTGCAGCTGTAGCACTCTGCGCAGCTTCTCTGGCAAGGTCCGCTGTTACAGCAACAGTCTGAACCTCACCAGTCACAGATTGACTCTGCCTCCCACCTGGGATACTTTGCAACACAGGTCTCCATGCTTGACGAACCGTTGCTACAGACAGCTGATCCCATGCCTCCACCAAGAAGTCCACAGCTTTCTTGACGTTGAATTTCCTCCAAAAGTGTTTCACAAGAACTTCTTGCTCTGCCAACTGTTGTTCCTCTTCCTCGTCGCTCTTGCTATCGGTGTCACCCAGGTTACGCAACTCATCCTTGGTGTTGGTATAGTCGTTCAGGAGCTAAAACTTCTTTGCAGAGAATGCAGTTTTCACATTGCAGATTAATTCTTGGTCCATGGGCTGGATAAATGACGTAGTGTTGGGAGGAAGAAGATCACTTTTACATTGGGGTGACGATCCAACAGTAGGGGCGAGTGTCCTGGTGCGTTGTCAAGCAGCAACAAAATCTTGAATGGAACAGTCTGTTGCTCACAGAATTTCTTCACGTCGGGAACGAAACAGTCATCAAACCAGGAGAGGGACAGAGTAGAGAACATCCACGCCTTACGTGCGGTCAGCCAGTGGACATTTAGCTTGGTCATGTCCATGTTCTTGTAGGCGTGTGGCTTGCGTGCTGTGTGGATCACCGATAACTTGAGTTTACAGGAACCGGAGGCAGTGGTGGAAAAGAGGACGGTGATGCGCTCCTTCTGCAACTTCCGGCCCCGACACTTGCTGGCAGACTTGACAACGAAGGTCTTGGAAGGTAGCTTTTTCCAAAAGAGACCGGATTCGTCCATGTTGAACACCTGGTCATCGGTGTACTGTCCTTCCTCCATAATCGCACGTAAGAACGGAGGAAAATCCTTAGCCGCAACACGGTCAGCACTCGCTTCTTCACCACCAATGTTAATGTTGGTGATCTTGTTCCTCTTCTTAAACCTGTGCAACCACCCAGAGGAAGCATTGAAGGGTTTGGGCTCTGCAATTCCCATCTTACATGACACTGCTGCATATAGTTCACGTGCCTACTCCTCAACTGAGCGAGTGTCGACCGCCATGTTCCGTCTTGCCTGACGAATCAAGTAGCTCACAAGTAACTTCTCCGTCTTGAGAAGCACCTTGTTGTGGCAATACTTGATCATTGAAGCACCTGTAGACTTTGTGACGTTCATGTGTTCTTTTATCTTGGCTGCATCCTTCTTGATTGTCCGGATCGTAGATTCGTTCACACCACTTTTACTTTTATCCTCTTCGCCACTGATCGGCTTGTTAGCCGCTTGGGCGATCGGTCACGTCTCTGATTACT